GTCATTTCTGTGCCACTAATGACATCAAACTGAACTGTTTGTATAAGCAGCCAACTGGGTTGGGCATAATAATGTCTTAACCATGGGGTAAGTGTTTGCAACAGTCATTATGTTTGCAAGAAATTACATACCCTGCTTTAAATATAGTTGAAATGTAGTTAAATCAATATTTTGCATTTAACAACACTGACACATGCATATCACCACTGTTTTTTAGGTCAATACTATGCAATTTTTCCAAAGTTATTCGACCCTAGATGTTACTGAAGTGACACTAGCTGGAAAAAAGAACAGTGCCCACAATGTTTCATTCCAAACAAGAACAATTTTGTAACATGTAACTATTAACTATAAATCCAGTCTCATTTGTTTCCACTGAATGTTGGCCACATAATTGGTGGCCCTTCTATCAAGTAGCACTTTAGTATTTGGATAGGGATGACACAAGGGGATCAGAAGGGAAGGAAAAGGCAAACACTCCGAAAATGGTTTCATCCTTGATAATTACATGCAGTGAAGTGTGACTCTGCAGCCAGCACCCCAGAGAAGGTTGGGGCAATCAGTCAGTCTCTGTACCCTCTACTGGGGAAAAGGGGACTGAGGTCATCTTTTCTGCTACTAAACCTGCAGGTGCCCAACGCCTTTGTAATGACTCACGAACTGATAGAAATAAGAGATAGCATTTAGAGATAAAATTTATAGATCTGCACATATATAGTTTGTATAATACATTATTTAAAAAAAATATTACATATAATTATATTATATTAAAATATGTTAGTCTGATCTCATGTCTCATTCCTTAAAGGACCAAATTAAAAGGGGCACATCTTACCCCACTCTCCCCTTATTATGTCATACTTCACAATTTTTGTGACAAAGCTTCACACATCAGCATAATAGTATACCATGTGATGCTACCTCAATCCCATAATTTAAAAACAAAAGTGCGTAAAATTAGAACTTGCTTTGTCATTCATCTCCCATCCTTTTTAGACATCTTTTTTCAATGAGCAGAACCCATCTGTCAATCAAAGATGTCACTGGGTGGAGTCCAACCATGCATTTGATTTACTTTTCTACACAGCTAAAAATACAGGTCTAAAAATAGCAGGCTTGGTGTTGAACGCTTTCTACTCAAGGTGTGCAAAGCAGCTGAGGTGCAACGCACTGACAGGATGCGGGCATATTCAGGAACATGATATGACATGGCATTTGGCGGGTTTTAGCTGTGAAGGAAGAGAATCCACGCCGTACGATTAACCCCGTTTTCTCCCAAATGAGTGTTTACTGTTTGATTCTTAGACCCTTTCTAAAAAGAAAAAAAATCAATACGGTGAGACACACCGACTCCACTGACTCAGCAAATGAGGATCAGTCGGTCAGAGAATTATTTCCCTCCACAGCATAAAAACAAGACAATATAAAGCAACCATTCTATCACGTGTGGAAAAGAAAACACCAGGAATGGTGGAGTTAAACAAGCAGAAAAGTTATATTTTAACCTCAGCAAAGCATCTTGATACTTTTAAAAGCATTAAAAATGCCAAATTCAAAAGGATTATGGGATATACTGTTTCCACACATCTCCAACATCTTTTTTTATGCACTTCCAATTTTATGGAAAAAAAAATAAAAATCAGAAAGGCTAGTGATCATGTCATCCAACTTACATGACCTTGATTTGGAAAACAGAATAAACAGTCCTGTTTATCTATTTACAACTCCCTGACAAATTCACACTTAACCACCTTGTATGAAATAACGCCTTTAGGAACAAGATGACCATATATTCACATTTTTCTTGTGACAGTACCGTTCTTGACAACTGTGTCTGCAGTTATTTTGTGTCTTAGTGATATTTGAGGCAGAACTGTGGGAGATCTGAAATATGAGATTTCAAATAAGTTGGCACATGTAAGGAAAAAGGTCTCATATGTAGGATTCTCCCAGGAAGATAATGGGACATCTAACAACCACTAAAAGCACCAAGTGAGACTGTGAATGAGTGTGATATTGCTTTTACACAGCAGTTCAATAAACAACTAGTTAAAATTGAGCAACTTACATTTTAGACACAGTATTGCTAGGTCCATTTTTGAAAAAGTTAATAGTTCAAAAGAAAGCCACGGCAGCATCAACCATATCTCGGAAGAACACACAGCAGTTATGTTTCATCATTCAATCAGCGTTTTGAACTAATTGGTTGGGTGAATGATTCAATAACTCACTTATATGGTGTGTTCAAAATCGCATATTGCAACATTTGTACTACATTTGAATTTGAACTTTGTGACCCTTAAAAAAGTATGTTCTATATAGTATGAATGAAATTCGGATGTACTACATCTGCCATATGGTCATGTGACCTGCAGCGTCAGTTGCTTGGCTTCATTTACAAATACTCTCTCCTGACCTCAAAAGTAAAGTATCCATCAAATGCGCATTTTAGAATCTCACCAGTAGTAGTAAATTATCTTTACCTAGTTTTTCACCTACTGTTTTTCAAATACTATGTATAGGCTACTCTTTTGGCGTACTGTTTTTTGCATACCATATATTGTATGCAAAATATAGTATAATATCGATTTCAGATGTAACTTTAAAGTTACTTGTTTCACTGCTGACTGAATCAGAGTTTTGAAGAAATCCGTTCAGTGAATGATTTGACTCATTCATATAGACGGTCACTGTCGCCACCAAATGGTGTGACAATGAAACCTGCAGAAAGAGTCATTAAAAACCCCCACCACATTTTGCCATGGCGACAAATTTTCATTGGGTACATTACATTCACATTTTCTGTAATTACACCATTTAGGCAGACTCTGTTAAACTAATGGAATATGATCCAACATACAAAATAATTGATAATAAAAAGAAACTACTTAATTTTAAAATGAATTCAAGCTACACTTCCTGTATTCGCTAACGCATTCTCTGGAAATCAAACCCGTTTCCTTACACAGATGAACAATGAACAGCTGATAACATAAAAATCGCATAAAATGAGACCTGACTTCATCATCTTAAGATCCTTGGTTGCCCGTATAATTATGTTGAACCTGTCCCTTCTGGCGTCAATGACCTCACTGATTCAAGCTTAATGAGTCAACAAAAGTGACAGGATTTTTTAAGCTCGTCATTGCCCACCAGTAAATGATGTTCGTTAGCTCTATATAAATCATGCAAATGCTGACCCTTTTTAACCTGTACCGGTCATGTGTCAATGAGGGGGGGAAAATCTGAGCAAATAAAGCCATGTGTCTCCAAATTAAATCTGAACCACCACTCATTGTAACCCAAGATACATCCCATGGTTAACAACAGAGCCTACCCCTCACCTTGTGATCAATGAAATAAATAATTCATATCACGGAACAGCAAATATGATGACAGCTTCTTAAACGCCAGCCTTTCTAGGTGCTTAATTAGCCTTTGGAGAGCTTGACATCTAAACAAATTAGTAACCTGCACAGCAAAACCTATGATGGATCTGAATACTGACATACAGTTACCCACCAACAAGCCACTACAATCCATTCAGTGGATTGATTGATATTTATATTGCGAGCTTCTCATCTTCATTCAACATCGTTCATGCCTGATGACCTGGCCACAAGTTGATTTTCCTTGAACAACAGGGGCCTGAATGCCAGGCATGAAATAAGTCTGTTAAAATAGTGCATATCTGTGAAAAGCACTTCACACGTTCTACCCGTTTCATAACTAAACACATGGTGCTTTTCAAGCGTGCTGCCACTGCACAGAAGACAACCGAGAGACGGCAGACGAGAAGAATTAATAATCCAGCCAAATCTTCTGGCCCAGTAAGAGCAAACAAAACTGAAGCTCTTCGTTATCTCTGTCCGTGCATGCTTTCAAACAAACAGCAAGGAGATAACTGAGATGTTTTGATAAACAGGATCTCAGTACTTTAGACATCCTTCATCCCATTAACATGCTGCAAGCAGTGTGCATTTCATGTGAAACCATGAAATTTGCAGGGGCCATTCTGTAGATAACATTACACGCCTTTGATCCAGCTTTGTCCTCATCATCTACAGCTCATTCAACGGGCTTATTTAAAGATGCGATTAGGCACTCTGTGGAAAGATCTGCCAGTCAGCTCTCCAGATCAATACAGCATTCCCTCCTAATCGACAAGCTTCGTCACCTCCTTTCCAGCACTGTAAAATACTTACACCTGAAATGCCAATTAATGCCTTTGTAAACAACAATAGTCTTGACATATGAGCACACTGAGAGCATAACATCACTTCAAAAAGGTTTTAAACAGCAGTTGAACATGAAGACAATACTTTTAATTAGTGTGAGGAGCTTTTAACCTCCACCCCGGGTCTATCAACATCCAGTGCTGCATCCAAACCAACTTATAGCTTCACATCTCTTATATATTCTGTATAAGTAGCACATAATGAAAAAAGTAATAGTTGTAGATATCTTGAAATTCTATATTCAGTCCGACAATGCTGGAAGTGGACCAAACTGAGCGCAATTTTTATTTATTTTTTGTCTGTTCAGCAGTAACTCTGGATTAAAGTATTTCAAATAGCCATACCAACCTAACGCAGTTCTCAAGGTGAAAAGCAAAAACCTTTGCAATTGATGTGCAGGTGTACCTGCCATGACATTGAAGAGCTTTGTTCAGGTGTTTATGAGCGAGAGAACAAATCACATCTTTCTTTATTCCCAAATTCACTACACCTTCCACTCACCCACCTTCCATTTCACATTTGGGTCAGTCTCTTTAAAAGAGCTGCGATGCCAAATTCTATTGTTAAACTGAACATAGATGCATTAGCTCTTTTTGTCTTTATTCAGGACATTGAGGCAGGTTTGTTGGAATTGAATTCAGTGCTATTTTCCTCCATCTTAACCAAAATAACAAGCATCTTAGACATAACTGAGCTAACCTGAAACAGCGCATTACCCCGCAAACAAACACTGAGTGCGATGGAATGACATTGTACACTCACCAAATGATGTCCAGGGAACAAACGCTCTCCTCTCCCCGCTTTAAATCCGAAATTCAGCTGGATAAGAATCCTACGTTCATGCCCTGCGGAGGCTATTTAAGGAAATTAACTGTTCTCTGGATGTTGACTCAGTGAGGGACAACCATCGGCTGCTGAAAGAGCGGATCGCTGCGGAGGCAGAGCGCGCGGTGATGCTGCCTTTTCGGAAGCTCAAGTTCCCATCACAGCCTTCATCCACACGCACACATCCACACGCGCAGGTGTCGCGCTGAATTCATTCATAGACCACCATCTTCTGGCAGTATACTGTATGAACATGTTTTACACACCTGTTCTATGTTCAGCATTTCATTATTTTAACTAATACCCTTCTTTTGTAACATTTAGTTATTCACATAATGAAGTGTATATTAATTGATTTATTGTTAATTCAGACCTATGACTGTAGAAATGTTTTCTGTTTTTTTGACATTAAATCGTTACATGTTTGCTATTTATTTTGATACCCCTGATCACGGTTTTGATTTATATTTATGTGTTAAGCTATGTTGATTCTGTACATTGTGCGATCATGTAAGTAGGCAATATAGCCTATATTTAAATCACACAGTGCAACACCTCAAGGGAAGAAAGATTATCACCAATAACGTTACATGGCAAGAGAAAGAAATCATAAAACTTTTTTAAACATCTTTCAGACACATTTGCAAACAAAGCTGAGGTCACCGAAGTCCGGACCTCGGTACAATTTTCATGTTCAGAAATAAAATCTGTTTTCTGAACGACTAATTTGTCCGTGGTGTGAAAATAACGGAGAACTACGCATGTCGCTGCGAGACGCTGGGTGCTTCTCAAACGGAAGGCTGCATCCTACCCGAGGCCGCGTCCTATGGGATTACATCTCTGCCACAATCCTGCGCGTTTTGTGGAGAAAATGTTTTGTGGAGAAAATGTTTGTCTTGCAAAGATGATATTTCGAGCACACGAAAATCAATTCGGCATTTAAAATACGTTTTTGGATGTGTGCAGAACTTCTCTTTTGCTAGTTCAACGTTTCACTAGGGATGGGCGTATCGATCCAAAGTATCGATACTGAAGTGAGTATCGAAAGTATCGATACTCAAACAAAAATATTGATACTAAGGTGTGTTTTATTTACCAGTGACTTTTAATTTAACAAAAAATAATAATAATGCGTACTATGCATTTCATGGACGAATAACCTTTGTTAGCGAGTAATTGTGTAGGATAGAACTATTTTTCTGCTCATCTGAACACGCAAATGTTGCAAGACAGAACTAATCAATCACAGAGAGCGTTCACTCACTTCTGACAGTACATTCAAACCGGGCTGCTTTTCCCAAAAGTGTCATAAGAAAGCATTAAAGCTTTTGGGAACGGCAGCCCTGAGCAACGCTTAGAGGACAGAAGGACAGGGTTATTTTACAATAAACAAATTGAAATTGTAGCCTACATAGTTTGTGCAATTGGTATCGTATCGAAAACAAAATAAGTGGTATCGCCCATCCCTACTTCTCTACGTTTCACAAGCTTGCTCACCTGATGCCCTCAGTGCTCTCTAAATGGCAACAGCTCGCTTGCTCAACACAACCCAGCATTACAATATGCCATAATTCCAGCCAATCAGAGAGAGGCTGCTAAATTCTGATTGGCTGCTTTGACAACCAATCACAACATTCCTTGCATTACCTTGATGGCAGAAGAGGAAAAATACAGTGCATGCATAATTATGCAAGTTGCTATTCTGATCATGATTTTTTCCAAGCACATTTTACCAATTCCAAACGACATCAATCTTAATAACTACTATTAATCATTTATAATTGATATATAATTATTCATGAAGGCTGGAAGTGAAACATGTCTTATATTCAGGTGTGCATAATTAAGCAGCTTTTCTTTTACAGATAAAATGAGCCAAAAAAGATATTTAACTCTATTAATTAGTAAAAGCCCATGAGAAGTATTAAAAAAATAATACAATACTAGAAATTGCAAAGTTAATGCATAACCATTGGACAGCAAAATGCTCAGTGGGTCAGCAGGGTCAGTCAAAAACATGTGGAGAAGAAAAGATGCATGTTAACTGCAAAATAATTAGGAATTAAGGTGAAGAATTAGGTGTGAAATCACCATGAACCATTTAGTCTCCAGCGCCACCATTTTCCAGAACTGCAACCTACCTGGAGTCTCCAGAAGTACAAGGTGTCAGGTTCTCAGAGACTTAGGTTAAGTATAGAATAAAAAAAAGGCCCCTACTTAATCACATACTGAATTGTAGTAAAATACTTGAAGACTGATTTATATATATATTGTGACGAGCGTCCCGAAGCTTCATCAGCGTCGCCTTGGAAACAAGCGAGGAGCACCTGGCCATCATCATCACAGGCTGCTCAGTCACAGCTGCACCTCATCAGGCGGTGGCTACATAAACCACGCAAGCCCTGCCATCTAGGAGATTCCTCCATGA